ACCTGTGTTTTAGTCATAAATCGCTTCAAAGAATAACTATTGAAATGTGAAAAACAATTAAATATTAAATAAAAATACAAACAAAACTCAAACAAACGTTTTGTATAAATAGTGGTATAAAAGTGACAATAATTTCCAAGAAGTGATGCCAACGAGTGATACAAACACTGGTCTATAAGTGGACTCAAGTGTGGACTCAAACCAGACCAGAGCGCCGGCCAATGGGATGACAGCCAATACTGTCCTTACAATTAAACACATAATTAATTGTCAATTGAATTAATGTCTAATAAAATACTTATTTGTGTTGAAAGTCAACGAGTTTTGTGGCGAAGAAGTGATGTCTGAATCCAATTGTGAATCAATTAATGTCTGGCAGAGAGTAATGTCTTCACTGATGAGGAGACCACTTGTGGTCAACACATGCAACACATGGATGGCCACCGACTCGAGTCCATCACTGCCTGTGCTGTCCGTCAAAGACATGGCATTCATCGGCGGTTTAGACCTAATGTGTGAAGACATTCATTGTCTGAACAGTTGTTTATAAGTATCACATGTTTTGTTGTAAACAATCAATGCTTGCCATCAATGATGTCCTCCAATGAAGATAATTATCTCAATTATTTTACTTCAAATTGAATTGATCATGGTCATTTGAAAATAAAATGGCAGTTACGATGAATTGAATGAATGAACCATGATGCAAATATTATATAAAATTATTAGTTTATTAATCAATAATACAAATATTAATTTTGTTAATATTTATAAAGTTTACAAACATTTCACGTAATTTATTGCAAAACTAATGTGACGTTTGGTTTGTTTTGTAAACAAAAAACACATTAAAAGGCAAACAATTTATTAATGAAAACAACATTTAACTCGTTATTGTGTACAACCATTAAACTAACTAACCTAGGTCATCATCACCACTACCACCTTGGTCATACTTGTCGCGCAATTATAACACACCATCACATGTCTAACCGTAAGTCTCTCTCTCTCGCTCTCTCTCTCTCTCTCTCTCTCTCTCTCTCATCCATTCATTCATTCACTGACTTCTAAACGTGTATTGAATTAAAAATTTTATTCATTATTTTTA